CAATTTAACATCTTGTGAAGTGAAAAGCTGCATGTTTGTAATAAATGTATCAAGGCATTTTAACTTTAAACCTGTCGCTCTCACATCAAAATCCACCAACATAATTGTTTTTGGAAAGTTTTAAACTTGTAAACAGTGCTTGATCGGTGCATATTTCTCTCCTGATTCACAGAAGATAGACTTTTTTCACTGAAGGAAGCAGTATTATGTACTGTGGACCATTTTAGACGGAAGCAGTGGTTTAAAGATAAAAACATCTTGATGATGGATTTGTTTCTTACAAACACAGCTTTTCACTTCACAAGATATTAACTGATGGCTTGGAGTGGTGTGGATTACTTGAGGATTATTGTGATGTTTTATCAGCTGTTTGGGCTCTCATTCTGACGGCACCCATTCACTGCAGAGGATCCACTGGTGAGCAAGTGAGTAATGCTAAATTTCTCCAAATCTAGGATGACCTGAGGGTGAGTAAATGTTCATTTTTTTGGTGAAGAGTTGAAAGTGCCATATAAGCTGAAGTGGATGTGTATGTACCAACAGCTAAACAGCTGAAACACTGCCTTGCCCAACAGAGCTTCTTCTTAGAACTGCAACTCTGGCAGGACATTGCTGTACATCTAGAGTGCAAACTCCAGACGACCCGTGATGGCGTACGTGAGAACACCCTCATCCTGTAGTTTAAAGTGTAACCAGCTGCTATTTTCATTTTGAGCTCATGCCAATGATATGAATCTGAGAGCTGGACATGATATGATTGGTTGCTGTGCAAAGCTGACTATAAACTAAACGGATTCATCCAGCTCTTCAGATCCACCTGTTTGGCAAAGATCAATATTTATCGATCAACTTGGTGAAGAAAACAAAGTGTCTCACAGAAACATACTGTGTATCGTGGGCTACCTACATCTTTGTTAACCCAGATAACCACTGTAAACAACTGATAAATATTATCCTCCTATTGAAATGTGGTTTGTATACGTGCTGAGACACGTAGTCATGCGCATATAATCCGTAATCACATCCGCTCGTGTTGTCCCAGCTCATAACAAATATGTTTTGAATATTTATAGCAAGCGGAAGAGAATAGGATTTTTTTATTTTTAAATGACAAATCTAACAGCCATCTTTTGGTCTAAGAAATGTTTATTCGTGCCAGTACTTGAAAAAAAAATTACATTTTAAAAATTGTTTTATATTAATATTTAATATTAATTTAATTAATAATCTTAAAATTGCCCTTGTAAGACTTCATACTATATCAGTCATGGTTTCCTTTTGGCCTTATTGTAGTATCAGTGTTAGTTCTTTATTATACTATGTTCTTTATTAGTATAGTTCTTTATTATACTTATACTATGTTAGTTTAAATTGAGAATTTATAGTAATTTTGTTATGTTTTTGTCATTTTTTTTAGTATTATATGGAAAGCACAAAGGGGACATAAATTATAATTTGAAATGGACTAAATCTTTATTACAAAACTATGTTGATCAGCTGATAATTTAGTTCATTAAATATCTTCAAGATCTTTTAATTCAGGCATACATTTTATTTCATAACTAGTTTTGTATTTCATAACTAATGGGAAGACAATAGCATCTGTTATTCATGTTAACGTTTACTTACTGATAAAATACATTCAAATTTACATACAACTGCATCAAAACTTCAGATAACAGAAGAAAAAAATTAAACATCCACATAAAAAATCACTTTCATACAACAAAATATGTTTAGCTCAAATGTCTCCGTTTTTCTCCGGCAGAAACACTGAGCATTTGCTGAATAAATGCCTCAAAGTCATACCAAACACCAAAGGTCAAGTCGATTAAAGAAAGAGTTTAAGCATTTTTTTTTTTTTCAGTTTATGAGCTGAGCAACCAGTTCTGAATTATCAACAATGACGTCACACATCAGTGCAGGTCATTATTTACTGCATGACTCACAAGGGTCTGATAAAACTAGATTTCCGGTGGTGACAAAAAACAGTATCAATAATTCATCAGTCCGCTATATGGCAAACCAAATCATTTCAGGTCAGCCAAAATAAATCTCTATAAAACTTTACAAATATGTATACAATTAAATATACACATTTATATAAAAAAATATTTATCATCTGAATAACCACTGTCATGAAACGAAACGAAGCATTATTTCAAAAAACAAAAAAGTCATACTATATATATATATATATATATATATATAAAGGATATATTTCTAGCAAGGGCAGTGTGTGCTTTTACAGTTGCAGACTGTGCTCTTCACACATAATTACACAATTAGACAGGCCTCTATCACACTCCTCAACGTTGGTCTGCTTCGACATACACGGGTGTCCTCGTTTGAAGTAAAGCACAGACATCGTGGTGAACAGTTCTAGAGCAGCTCGTTTTTCCCGGTCACCAGGTGGAGGTCGCGAGCATCCCGACGATCCCGGCTGATGGCGTCACTGGACCACTTCAAAATAGTGTAATATGGCCATTATGTGCTGAGGCATGAACACATAACCGGTGTAGACGGCCATCGCTGCCACCGTGATCAGGAGGGAATCTGATAGTCTTATTAAGGAAATTATGTTGCAGAAGGAAACAGGGGTTATTATAGTATACTACAACCATAAAATAAAAAAATACTACTTTATTTAGTTTAACTTGATGTACTGAAATACCTAAAACTGAAACAAAACTATATAGACATATAGAAAAACACAACAAACACAAAATTACCAAAACTTTAAAATGAAAATAAAAACAGAAAATATAAAAGTGAAACAGTTTAGAACATGAATAAAATCTCAATGCTACTTGCATAACACTAAAAGGAAACCATGACTGACATCTAGTGAATAGTTTTTTCCTTGGAGTGGAGTATTGCTTTAAAATGGAGCAATGAAATTATGAATAATTATAAAATGTTACCTGCTTTTTCCTACTTTTGGGCCTTTCTCAAATACAGTAATACACACACAATTTATACTGTAGATAAACATGAAGCATTTAAAATATAATCTTGATGAGAAGCAGAATTTAGCTACGTGTGTCCAAACTTTTGACTAGTACTGCATGTGTTCAAAATATCGTAAAATAATTCTCATAATGAATTGAATTTTATATTTTTTTAATTAACAGATTGCTAATAAATATAGATTTATTATATAGCTATAAGCACTATGTTTTTGCCAGATTAAAAAAAAAATATATAGTATAGCTGTAACATTTAAATGAATTTTACATTTTATCAGCAGGCTACAAACACATATATATTATTATATATTGTTGTTGTTACAAACACTGTATGTTAAACATGAAATATTTGCCAGCTTTAAATAAAAACACATTTAATTGAATTTTATATTTTCTCAGAAGAATATAAGAAAAACAAATATATTAAAGCAGCACTATATGTAACTTTGGGCGCTCTAGCGGTTAATAAACAGAACTGCACACATCCCGCGGAAGAACATTCCAACCGGAGCTACTTCTCTAAGTTTATGTCTCTGGCGATTCACGCAGATATGTGTTACTCCGCAGCGGCGACGACCCGACCAGGCTATAATAGTCCAACTATAAGTACTTATTATAAGTGTACCGTAGTGATTCGGAATAAGACAAAAACGCGGTTTGGAAGATGAATTCATGATGCAAATTTTGAACACAGAAAAAGTTACATAGTGCCGCTTTAAGGTTAGAAAGATTACAGATGTACAAGCCCTAAAACTAGTCAGTTGACATTACTCCGGTGACCACAGTAAAACATAGTTCTCATCACAGAAAAGGTGAATGAAGCAAGTGAAACTGCTCACACATTCCCACAGTCGTCTTCCTAGAAGAGACCTGAAAATCAGGCCATGTATATCAATTATTCTAATCTTAAACATCACGCCCACAAGAACCACGTTACATGACTCATTCAGTTCAAAACTACCCACCATTTAATTCTTCTGAACTTAAATATAATTACTCAAACACATATAACTCTATAAAGCAACTAAAACGAATCAGCTGTTGCGTAAAGAAGATGTAATAGATTTACGATCGGCACATCAGACTTCTAGTCAACGCTGGACGAAAATACAGACATTCATTCGTTCAAGTAAAGACATCATTTTAGTACATTATAACAATATTTAGTTAATCGTATGATACGACACACTTGAATAGTAAGGAATCAACCGGATACCTTACGTGGACCTAAGAACTCTTCCCAAATGTTGTTTCTTACACATAAAGCGCTGTATTTTACGGGGGAAAAAAGGATACTGAAGATAGTTCTCTCCCAGGGCTCCAACATATACAGAGCTGTTACGAGCACATATTGGTAATAAAACCAAGATAATTGTTTCCAGGCATCTCCTAACGCCATATTTTCAATCGGCTCGCGTTGGACCCACCGCTCCCTTCCGGTGCGGATCATAACAAAATAAAAGTCATGTGCTGGAAAAGAAATGGAGGGATTTTACGGAGTACCAAAATAAAAGATAACACGCTTCAGTAAACAGGTAATGCTTTAATATCGGCATACTTCACAAAGACGCCGCCATATTTGATAGGAATTTAATTTTCTATAAAATCAAAATGGAAACATTTATTCAAATGATACCGTTCACGTTCAGAGCACATTAAGTGCTAAATAAAAGCCTTTTTTCAGCAATATGTCACTTCTGTTTAATTTGAATCATTTCCATGTCCTCTACTGTGTATAAAAATACAACTTAATAAAAGGGAAGAACATATCTGAGAGGCAACAAAACAACTTTTATGCAAATATGAAATGTAATTTACAGAAAGTGGATCACATGAAAGTGTTTACATTTTACAACAACAGAATATAAATCAAATATAAAAACCCAATAAATAAAATTACACGTCTTGCCCTATTCCTTTCCCCAAAAAACTTCTCTCTCTCTCTCTCTCTCTCTCTCTCTCTCTCTCTCTCTCTCTCTCTCTCTCTCTCTCTCTCTCTCTCTCTCTCTCTCTCTCTCTCTCTCTCTCTCTCTCTCTCTCTCTCTCTCTCTCTCTCTCTCTCTCTCTATGTACTGTACAGCAAAGTTGCCTGGTGATGCACGTCACCAAAACATGTGGTTTGTATTTATAAGTCCAGTAAATGTCCTTAGCAGTGACTTGCTAGGATGTTGAAGAAATGATACACCTCATCTTTATCATACACTGCCACTTCAGTGGAGCATTCTGTGCACTTGACTGGGTGATATATCTCTTTTTCATCCATTCCTGCCAAGCGTGCATCAGTCAGACCTGCACTTGACTCCATTTCAGCCTCTGTGGATGTGGATGTGGTCTCCCGACGGGCCTTCTTTCTGTGCCGGTTCTGCTTTCGCTTATTGGTGGTTTTATAGCACAGCACTTCCTCTTTGTTGACTGTGCAGTTCATCACAAACATGGCTCTGTACTGCGTCCGATATCTCTCATGCCTGTGGGTTGAGAAGTCATTTAGACTTGGGAAATAATCTTCACAGACACTCACAGTGCAATATGAACTGAATGTGACCGTACCTCTGACAGTCCAGGCACAGGGTGGTCATACAGGCTGGACAGTTGAGGACAGCATCACTGCTTGGAACAGAAAAACTCCTCTCTCTCTCTCTCTCTCTCTCTCTCTCTCTCTCTCTCTATGTACTGTACAGCAAAGTTGCCTGGTGATGCACGTCACCAAAACATGTGGTTTGTATTTATAAGTCCAGTAAATGTCCTTAGCAGTGACTTGCTAGGATGTTGAAGAAATGATACACCTCATCTTTATCATACACTGCCACTTCAGTGGAGCATTCTGTGCACTTGACTGGGTGATATATCTCTTTTTCATCCATTCCTGCCAAGCGTGCATCAGTCAGACCTGCACTTGACTCCATTTCAGCCTCTGTGGATGTGGATGTGGTCTCCCGACGGGCCTTCTTTCTGTGCCGGTTCTGCTTTCGCTTATTGGTGGTTTTATAGCACAGCACTTCCTCTTTGTTGACTGTGCAGTTCATCACAAACATGGCTCTGTACTGCGTCCGATATCTCTCATGCCTGTGGGTTGAGAAGTCATTTAGACTTGGGAAATAATCTTCACAGACACTCACAGTGCAATATGAACTGAATGTGACCGTACCTCTGACAGTCCAGGCACAGGGTGGTCATACAGGCTGGACAGTTGAGGACAGCATCACTGCTTGGAACAGCGTGTGGTTTGTTTCTTCTGTTTGCTGATGGTGGCAGCCGCCTCGGATTTCTGTATCTGTATCAAAAAATGGAAATAAGCTATGAATGTCACAACCTTTTGTTATAACTCACATTTTTAAGTGACAAAAACCTACTCTTTTCTTTTTGCATCCACCCAAGCCTGGTCGCGATCATCCTCGTCTGGGTCGTATAACAGCTCATCATTTGTGAGAACAGAGCGCTGCTTCCTCCTCAGACCTTGAGAGCTGCCTGATACAGCACAGAAAACCATATTAACATAACTCATTTACCCTTTATTAAAACCATTTACCCACTACTCCGGGTGTGTGTTCCCTTCTGTGTGTGTGCACTTTGGATGGGTTAAATGCAGAGCACTAATTCCGAGTATGGGTCACCATACTTGGCCACATGTCACTTTCACTTCACTTCACTTTATTACGCTTCTTCACTACATTACACATTATCGTTAAACACAAAAACAGTCAAAACAAAAGCACGCTCATCACTCTTAAACTGCGTGCTCAGCAAAAAATATTGATAATGAAAACAAAAAAAGTCAGCATACCTAGGCTCCAAAAATACAAAAATGTAATAACAGACTATCACACACAATATACAGTGGGTACGGAAAGTATAATTAACAAATGATTTGAGCAAATGGCTGCAATATAACAAAGAGTGAAAAATTGAAGGGGGTCTGAATACTTTCCGTACCCACTGTAAATGTAAATCTAAAAACTAAAAATATATAAATATACACAGTATATCTAAAACTTCTGTTTTTTTTCTATTTATATATATATATATATATATATATATAAGCTCCAAAATAAATAAAAGCTAATTATAACAAATTAAACTTGAGGGGTTAATCAATTTATTTTGCAAGGTATTTAGAGAGTTAAGCCATTTCTTTTTTTTTAGGTGACTTAAGGACTAAAATTGAAATGGTCAAATGCCACAAAACTTGTATAAATAAAACTGACCTATAATCAAAATACTATTACAGAAAAATTCAAATCCTTTGCTTTGAATAAAAACACCAAACTTAATGTGACTATCAAAATCAGGTATTACATTGTTTGTAACTATTGATACATTCTGTCCCAAAAACGCTTGACAAAAATACAGCTGTAGAAAAGATGTTGCTCAGATTCTTTTTTTTTGACAAAATATATAAATAATACCATCTAAATTAAACCTTACTTTTAAAAGTTGACCACATGGATAGATATTCATTGTTTTGAACTAAACATCCTTTATGTAATTGTAACTTTGATGGTGTTCATTTTCAAAACCTTTTAAATAACAAATTATTTTAAGAGGAACGGAAAAAACTTGTTTTGTTATTCGTGATCTCAAAAGTTATCCATATTAGCAAATGATATTCTTGTTGTACAATAGACACATTTTTTTCCCCCTTGCTTTTCAAATAATTACCAGCTGTGCCATCTTCATCTGAGTCAAAGTAAATGCTGTCATACTCCGGAGTCTGTAGCTTGTTTGCTGTGGAAGTGCCGTCACTGGTCCCAGACCTTTGACCTGTACATTAAATATTACATTTGAGTTTATTTACTGTTATAAGTGTTACATTTAAATTGTAACACTGATAATTGCACGTGTTTTTGTGAAACCTTGAGCTGAAGATGCCATCCAGCTGCACTCCAGGCCCTTCATGGTGCTGCTGAGCTCTGCCTCCATCTCCTTCTCAAATAAAAGTTACGCCTTTCTTTGCGTGAACATTTGGGCGGCGTTATGCAAATCTTCCCACATAGTGATGTAGATATGTGGGGGCGTTAGAACGAGCCTTTTTAGGTAGGCGTGGTTGACTCTTAACTTTTATAAAGAATATCTCTTTGGATTTGAGACTTTAGTCTTTGCAACTTTACAGATCTTCTTTATGCACCAAGAGCTTGTAACACTCCAAAGAGAAAGGAAAACTTGAAATCGCATCATATTTTGCCAGTAAGCAAACACTGCCTTTATTTATTTAGTCCATTAATTCAAACCATCAGTTTTTCTGTTGACATTAAAAAAACTCTCACTTAAAGTAAACAGCATCATTTATTTTTTGTTATTTTCATGGTCATTTTATCAGCGTTTATGTCAGCATTCCTCCATCTGAATAAATGGAAGCTTTGGTCACATATTGTGAAAAAGAAAACAACATTCATATACAGTGCACTTAAAAAATGTCTGGAGAAAAAATGCATCCATGTATGATTTCTTTTTAACAATGTCATATTAATCTACATTTTAAGGCAAACATACTGAAGCATTATTTGTTAGGAATGAAAAAAAGAGAAACAAACTGCTTTGCAGAAAATGAGTCTGATTACGATGATCCATACCTTTACGATGAAAACGAACACATGTACAAGGCTTTGAGTGACCATACACTTTAATTGTAATAACAATCAGCTCAACTTGAACAAGATATCTGAGCAGCATCCACACACAGATCACCAAAACTAACTTTGAAGATTACAACGGAGAAAACAAAAACAAGCGAAACGAAACAAACGGGACGAAAACTGCCGAAACGAATATGACGTAGCGAATCCCATGGAAAACAATTAACAATTAAAAGTTAAAAATGTGTGATTAAATGAAGTCGTATATCTTGTGCTGTGTGGATCAGGTAATCTTCCACAGTGGACTGCCTCACTTTAGGGGGGGTTGTGGAGGGAATATGGTGTCTCTGGTAGTGGCAAGTATAGACGTCTCTTTAGACAAACTGACCCCAGGTATGTTCTCTCCTCCATCTTCCGAATGAAGACGAGACCAAAGCAGGGAAAGCCCTATATGGAGAACCTGGCTCCAGGACCTAAGTGTCCCCTTTCAGGACCCCCAGACAGCTCTGCAGCAATTGTAGATTCCCCTGGAGAGAGATATTAAAGCAATAAGCCCCAAGAAGCCGTGGTTTACAGTGAATTTATAACAGCTAAGGGGGTTTAATGCCCTTTAGCTGTTATAAATTTACTGTAAACCACGGCTTCACAGGGCTTATTGCTTTTATAAAACGGTTATTCTATATACGTAGTAAGGTTTCACAAAATAAAACAGAGCAAATAAAGTGTAATGATATAAATAAAAACAGTATTCTTCCACCAAACAATGTAGTTCCTCAGAATCAGTTGTGGTTGCAACAAAGTGGTTGCCGAGCAACACACAAACGTAAACAAAGGTGTATGTTTGTAGAGTAATTTACAACAGCTTCGAATGTGGCTCAGCCAATCAGAATCAAGGACCGGAACTATCCATTATATAAATTAGTAGGGATGTAACGATTAACCACGAGCCGGTTGAAAATCGATTCAAATATGTGACGATTCAAATCGGTTGAGATGCTAAACAAATCGCGATTCATTTAGGGGTAGGAGTTTATATGAATGTATGTCTGAGGGGTTAAAAACTGCTCATGTTGCATGTATGCAGCATCTTTGTTTGGATCATGATTAAAATGCAGTGGTTGCCTCTAATTTTAAAAGTAAAGAGCACAGACAAAGCCTTATTTTGTTTATATGAAGAGATTTCTTTTATTTGTGTTACTTATTTATATGATTTGGGGCTTGTTTTAATATGTTAATTTAGTTTTGTTATTTACATTTACATTCTATTTAAATTTTGTCATTTAGCAGACACTTTTATCCAAAGTGACTTACAAATGAGGACAATAGACGCAATCAAAACCAACAAAAGAGCAATAATATGCAAGTGCTATATTAGTATATTATTATAGTGTTATATTTCAATTTCACAAAGGAATGTGCAGCATTTTGTCCAAGCAATAATAAAAGGACACATTTAATTAATAATTGTCTTAAATCTAATTTTGTAAAAAATAAAATAAAATCGTGAATCGAATCGTGAGTTGAGTGAATCGTTACATCCCTATAAATTAGGAATAAACAATACGTGGATTTGACATCATTGAGAGTCAGAGTATAAAGTGAATGGAAACCTTGGCATGTTTGAGTTCCAGCTCGGCCAGTTCCACCAAGTTCTTTCTGAACGCTGCTACTCGCCGTGTCTTGAAATCTATCAGTTCTAAATGGAACACAAGCATTAATATTTAGTGAGCAAACAGCCGTTTAGCAGATGCTTTTATCCAAAGTGATTCCCAGTCATTTTAATAAACATACAACCTCCCTGGAGCAATCTGAGGTTAAATTAATATGCCACATAACAATTTAACATCGAGGTCATTTTCAAAAACGCATTTCTACATTAACACCTTGTCCAGACAAAATGATCTATCCAAATTAAAAGCAAAAGTAGAGTTGCACGATTTGGGGAATAAAACTTTAAAAGAAATGTGATTTTTTCTGATAAACAAAATTCAGATTGTGAAAAATGTAAAAGAAATTTTTTTTTTTAATTAAATAATCAACATGACTAATATATACAGTATATATATATATATGTGTGTGTTATTACTATTTTTATTGTAATTTATATTATGATTATTATTACTAAATAAAAAAACATTAAACAAATTAATATTTCTGTTGCAATATTTCACCATGAAATAAAAACATTGTATTTAAAAAGAAGAAGAAGAAGAATTTTATTACAGTATAACTTTAAAATTACAATACTAAGATTTTTGGCCATCTTACTTTTTAAAGCTTAAACAATCAAGTTTTTATTTGATGAAAATCTCAAGGAGCCTTTAAAATCAGTATGAAATGAAAAGTCACTTTCTGTTTTTTCTAAATGCATGTTATAGATCTAATTGTAAACAATTCATCCATACATATGTTTCATTTGTTAAAAAAATAAAATAAAATTCTAACCTTGTGATGTTTAATCAAAATGTTATAACTGGATATTCTAGTGAAAATGACAGACTTCTCCAATCATTTATTCTGATTAAACCCACTGCTGGAAACTTGCGTACTTCACTCTAAAATATGCTTTGCATATATTTCATTAAATCATAGCCTTTTGATAATAGCAATAGTAGATTTTGATAGTAGCAATTTGATAATAACATTAAGCAATATCACAATTTAAGTTTATTTCAGGTTTATTTGGATTATTCAGCCCTAGTGTAAAATGACACAATCAGAACCAATCAGTGAAGTCGGATTTTGGACCAATGACATATAACGGTGGGTGGAGCCAACTAGTGTGACATCTATTAAAACCAAGCAATCAACAAATGGCAATTGCCTGTGCCAGTTTAGAAGAAGAGCAAATTGTATTACATTGCGTCTGGTTAGGAAACGGCGTAAAATCAAGTATTTTTGTACTCCAATCACTTTGAATGATACACATGAAGTACCTTGTTTTGCAGATTCAGAGATTTTCTCAAACTTCTGACAGCACACTTGCTGTGTGGTTTCTGCTTGAAGGACGTCCTTGTTTTTAGCTCGGGCTTTATCCAGAGCTTTATTAGCGTTCTCATAATCAGCTAATGCTCTTCCTCGTCTGTACAGGAGGTCCTGTGGAAGAGATAATGCAGATTACAAAGAAAAAAAACACAATCTAAAAGCATTTTAAACTGGGTCAGGAAGCAATAACTATGAATAGTAGAAGATCAATCCTCTGCAACAAACAATCAATTCTGTATTAAACTGAATCTTAAGAGGTCACTGTTCCACTGTTTTGCTTTGGAAAGTCAGGACAGAATCACTTCTGTAGCTTAATTACATTGTATCCAGGGCTACAGCAACAAATCACTCGCTAATGTAGGAAAGCCCTCTAATGACCGGTTGCCAGTTCAACATGCTGACCACACGGCTCTACCTTAGCGGCTTGCGACTCTCTGAGGTAGTACTTCAACAAGTCGGCAAGTTTCAAATCCTCATCGGCCGCCACGCGCGCTTCAATTTTCTGCACAGGAAACAGAGTTTGAAAACAACTGAGAGGAAGAGGTGAGTGACTTTACAACCCCTAACTCTCTGATTCAGCTAATTCTGCCTTCTCTCCAAATGAACTCTTCTTCACTTTAGAGTAAGGCAGTCACAACATTTTTGAAAAGTAAAAGTAATTTTTATATACATTTTATTATGAACAATAAAGTGAAAAGACTGAAGCCAATGTCACATTTACTTTTATTTTACTTTACAATATGATCTCATTTATTAACATTAGTTAAGTACAGTGACATTCTCTAAAACTAAAACCATTAAAAATAGCTTTTTTTGGTAATTGAAATAAAGCTGAAATAAATTAATAAAAAACGTAAACTTAAAAACAAAAATATAAAAATTAGAAATGTTGCCTTGGCATCTAAATCAAATAATTTTAGGATGAAGTACTAAAATTAGTCAAACTAAAACAGAAATTAAAAAATGTAAAGCTAAATGGAAGTCATTTAAAAAAAACGAATAAATATGACAGAAGCACATAAAACTTTACAATGAAAAATGAAAAACGTCACAATATTAAATATATATAATTTGAAATATCTATAAAAAAATCAAAATCTAAAAATAAAAGCAAATTCAAAATTTAAATAAACATATGTAGTATATAAAAATGTACAAAAAAACACAAATTAACTTCTGTTTTTAACTTGAACTAACAATGAATACTAATACATTTAAAATGAAAAGTTGTATTTATTAATATTAATTTCACTGCACTGTAAAGTGAAACAAATAATAACTGTACTTTTATTAACTAACATTAACAAAAACTGATAAAAGCTGTAAATATGTTGTTCATTGTTAGTTAAACAATATATTTTATTATAAAATGTTACAATGTCATAATGTTTCTTAGTTTTAAATGTTCTATTATTTAAAAAAATATTTCCAGGTTTAAATTAGGGCTTTGACCACTTTATATTAAAAAGCATCTATGTTCAAATTATGTTATAAAACTGGAAGCACTTACCCGTGTTTTCTCAAACAGCTCTGATACTTTCAGGAAAAATCTGTTTATGAGGGAACAAAACAAAAAGCAAGTCAAAGATTTGACTCCATTCACACTGGGCCATACACAGAATGCATTTTTGCTTTGAAAAACGTGAGATGCTGGTAGTGGAATGGGAAAAAAACTCAAGGCCTCGACACATGCTTTTTAAAAGTTGAACGTATTGTAACTTGACTGCTGTGTTTTCACAATGCCATATCATACACAATATGCTGAAGCAGTCGTGAGACGCAAATGCAACAGTCAAACACGTCCATCTATAGCATGTGTTTACATGGACAAAAACTGAAAAGTGGTGGAGTGGAATGGAAACGTGTGGAGCTATATGGGAAACACTGTCGTACTTGCACAGATCTGTGGAGTCTTGGGTTCCTAAGGTGTACAGCGTGGAGGCGATTCTGTTGATATCATCCGCCGCACCTGAAACACACGTCCTGTTAGATCTCTAGACGAGGCAATGCTGTCAGGGTTTCACACATTCATTGACTCCGTGATGCAGCACTTAACAGCATTTCACAGCATTCTGCTTTTCCAGATCATGTTTCAGTGTTGTGCCAATAAGGGACACAAGGAAAAGACAAAACATTTGGCTCGGAATTGGACAGACACTTGATGCAAGAAAATGATGTGAATGACCAAAACAAATTTCTGAATTCATCTGCATTAATGGAAAGTGCTGCATTGAAATCTCTAAAATATTCAGATCATTTTACATAATACATTGCATGTCATCAAATAGTTTTAAAAAGTCAACCGAGTCACCTGACATTCACTGGCTTCCTGACAAATTGTCCTACTAAGCAGTATTACTGTATGTACCGCCGCTAAATTTCCTGTTATCACTCCTAACAGAGAAAACCAACCTTTCCAGGCAAAT